CACTGGGCCAGGAAAGATGAAACTCATGTGGAATCATCCTCAGGTAGTGTAGATTCAAATTTGTTCAAATCATGACCCCCGGGGCTAGGGTGGGGCCAAAATGGCCGACCCAAGTTTTACCGAGAAATATGTAGGAAAAATCTTTAAAAATCTTCTTCTCAAGAACCACTGGGCCAGGAAAGATGAAACTCATGTGGAATCATCCTCAGGTAGTGTAGATTCAAGTTTGTTCAAATCATGACCCCAGGGGCTAGGGTGGGGCCAAAAATGGCCGACCCAAGTTTTACATAGGAATATATAGGAAAAATCTTTAAAAATCTTCTTCTCAAGAACCACTGGGCCAGGAAAGATGAAACTCATGTGGAATCATCCTCAGGTAGTGTAGATTCAAGTTTGTTCAAATCATGACCCCCAGGGCTAGGGTAGGGCCAAAATGGCTGACCCAAGTTTTACATAGAAATAAGTAGGAAAATTCTTTAAAAATCTTCTTCTCAAGAACCACTGGGCCAGGAAAGATGAAACTCATGTGGAATCATCCTCAGGTAGTGTAGATTTTAGTTTGTTCAAATCATGACCCCTGGGGCTAGGGTGGGGCCAAAATGGCCGACACAAGTTTTACATAGGAATATATAGGAAAAATCTTTAAAATCTTCTTCTGAATAACAATTGGGCCAGGAAAGATGTTGTTGATGTGGAATCATCCTCAGGTAGTGTAGATTCAAGTTTGTTCAAATCATGACCCCCAGGGCTAGGGCTGTGCCACAATGGGGAATCCAAATTTTACATAGAAATATATAGGAAAAATCTTTAAAAATCTTCTTCTCAAGAACCACTGGGCCAGGAAAGATGAAACTCATGTGGAATCATCCTCAGGTAGTGTAGATTCAAATTTGTTCAAATCATGACCCCCGGGGCTAGGGTGGGGCCAAAATGGCCGACCCAAGTTTTACATAGAAATAAGTAGGAAAAATCTTTAAAAATCTTCTTCTCAAGAACCACTGGGCCAGGAAAGATGAAACTCATGTGGAATCATCCTCAGGTAGTGTAGATTCAAATTTGTTCAAATCATGACCCCCGGGGCTAGGGTGGGGCCAAAATGGCCCACCCAAGTTTTACATAGGAATATATAAGAAAAATCTTTAAAAATCTTCTTCTCAAGAACCACTGGGCCAGGAAAGATGAAACTCATGTGGAATCATCCTCAGGCAGTGTAGATTCTAGTTTGTTCAAATCATGACCCCTGGGGCTAGGGTGGGGCCAAAATGGCCGACCCAAGTTTTACATAGAAATATATAGGAAAAATCTTTAAAAATCTTCTTCTCAAGAACCACGGGGCCAGGAAAGATGAAACTCATGTGGAATCATCCTCAGGTAGTGTAGATTCAAGTTTGTTCAAATCATGACCCCCAGGGCTAGGGTTGGGCCAAAATGGCCCACCCAAGTTTTATATAAAAATATAGAGGAAAAATCTTTTTAAAAAATCTTCTTCTCAAGAACCACCAGGCCAGGAAAGATGAAACTCATGTGGAATCATCCTCAGGTAGTGTAGATTCAAATTTGTTCAAATCATGACCCTTGGGGTTAGGGTGGGGCCAAAATGGCCGACCCAAGTTTTACATAGAAATAAGTAGGAAAAATCTTTAAAAATCTTCTTCTCAAGAACCACTGGGCCAGGAAAGATGAAACTCATGTGGAATCATCCTCAGGTAGTGTAGATTCAAGTTTGTTCAAATCATAACCCCCGGGGCTAGGGTGGGGCCAAAATAGCCGACCCAAGTTTTACATAGGAATATATAGGAAAAATCTTTAAAAATCTTCTTCTCAAGAACCACTGGGCCAGGAAAGATGAAACTCATGTGGAATCATCCTCAGGTAGTGTAGATTCAAATTTGTTAAAATCATGTCCCCCGGGGCTAGTGTGGGGCCAAAATGGCCAACCAAAGTTTTACATAAGAATATTTAGGGAAACCTTTTAAAATCATCTTTTCAAGTACTTCAAAGCCATGATTAGTGATATTGATATGGAATCATCTTCAGGTAGTGTAGATTCTAGTTTGTTGAAATCATGAACCCCTGGGGGTTAAAATTCAAGCCCCCCCCCCCCCCCCGTAAACTTTCATTTCTGATCTGATATGTGCTTTTTCCAAGCCAATGTGCTCAGGTGAGCGCTGTGGCCCCTGGGCCTCTTGTTTAAAATTTATATCACCATGTCTCATTCAAGGGAGAACTAGAGATATGACCAGATGTATATCTGTTGAATATAAAATATGTACATGTATTCTGTGTTTTTTTTTAGTAATTTGTTTGTTTGTTGTGACAGCAACTGTTATGGCAGCTTTTAGCAAAGGTTGAAGTTTCTCAAATGTAAGTCAAACTCCAAGGTCAAGGTCAAAGGGTCTAAATTGTTGGTATCAAAGGGAAAGTCTTGTCACAAGGAATACACATGTGAAAAAAGGGAGAAATCCCTAGAACTTCCTCACCTGTTCAAAAGTTATTGCCAAGGTTAAAGTTAAATTGGATTCAACTCTAAGGTCTAGGTCAAAAATAATTATACCTGTTGAAAGTTCACAATGATTACACATGTAAGAGCATGAAAGTCCTAGCACCACCTGTTCAAAACTTACGCCAAGTTCAGGGTATTTTTCTTGTAAAATTGGGTCAAAATCCAAGGTCAAGAGATCAAGAGGTCAAAATTGGTGGTACCCATTAAAAGGTTTTGCCAAAAGAAATTTACCTATGAAATATTCAAGCCATGTCTATAGCCCAATCCACTTAAAAAATATGGGCAAGGTTAAAGTTTCCGTGGACAGCCAAAAATACATAAACATAGGAAACAAAATATGTAAAAATAGTCAATTGAAAAAATTTTCTACTATTATGGAGTCCTAAGATCAATTGTCATTTCAGGTACAGGGAGTCAGTGGCTAGGGAGATCAGACCCCCCCCCCCCCTGGAATTAGCAGTTATTTAAATAAGACTATATATGTACTGTAGAGAATAAAAATGACTTTGGACATCCTCCCCCTTAGAAAACAGGGACTCCACCATCATTGTTTTTATTATTATTTTTTATTTCCATCTCAGGAAATCTTGGGCTGATTTTTTTGACTGAGGTTTGACACCCCCCCCCCCCCTTTCTGAAAAAAAAAATTCTGGATCTGCGTCTGTTATATACTGAATGTCCGCAACGGGAGATAACTTGACAATGTGAAATTTGTCGACTGTGGCATGCGATGATCTTTGACCATGTTGACCCTTTTTGAACTTCAACCTAACCATTTGCATTTATTTATTTTTATGCAATCTATACTAAATCTTGTACTTACCAAATGTCATAGGTCGTGACAACGAATTCATGAAATATAATCCATACAATCCAATTAAAACACAAATGATTTTAACTGACCACACTGCATCGTTAGCATACATATGCTAAATAATCTCATTCGACAAACCTTTGCTGATTCCGTTGCCAGTATGAATTGGCCGAGGTGTGCCGAGAGGTGATATCTATAAATATGATAATGGGTGACGCAAACCCAATGTGAATGTAGAAAATAAAACTGTTTAGTACAAAAACAAATTTCAAACTATCATAATAAACTAAACTATGTTTTTTTTTTAAAAAATGTGAGAGTGAGAGAGAGAGAGAGTGTGTGTGTGTGTGTGTGTGGGGGGGGGGGGGGGGGGGGAGATAGGCATTGACAAATTAATCGGGTTGTATTTTCAATGGGTTTTTTTCCCGACCAAATACTAAAATCAGTTTGCACATTTTGATAAATTCATCAAAAACGCTTTGTACTAAAATAATATTTTATGTCGTTGAGAAAGTAAATTTAAAAAGTTCCAAATTATGGGGAAATTATTTATTTGAATCTAATTAAGTAATTTACTTCAATCATTAATTAAATTCTGTTATTTCAGACTGGTTATGAATTAAGTATTTTAAAATACATATGTGAGGTTCAGAGTTGATATGGTCATCTGAAAATTTTATGTTCAATTTGACGAATACATGTACGGTGATAATTATAGAATTATTTTGACTTCTTCCTTGGAAAGTCCAATATGAATGAGTGTATATTTAGAGGCAAACACCATAGTGCGGGTATTACTGTCTCATGACAGCATCTAGTTATATAAAGCATATTAAAGTAATTTGGTGTCAAACAAATGTAACAAAAAAAATATATTAAAAATATACAGAAATAATTTGGCCATGAAGTAGAGTCATTCTTTACAGAAACCCCCATATTTAGCCTTGTCTCACTGGCATGAGCATTTGTTGAAGAGGGAAAAAAAATGTCAAAATTTAACACATGTTTAAAGCAATATGAGCTGCAACATTGATATAGGAATTTTTTGTTGCAAAATTGTAAATTACTTTCAGTGACATAATAAATAATGTTAATAAACTTCTGTTGTTCATATTTGCGATGGAAGAAGTATTTATTAGCTTTGATTTAATTAAAATTACATTATTGTCGTCCTGTACAATTACAATTTCTTATTTAAAACTGCATATTGGATTTTATAAACTATGTCTTTCTTCAGCTTAATTTTAGTCTAATCGATCATAAAGGTTTAAGTAACACACAAATTTATCATAATAACATATTTTAAAGGCAAAATAAAATTTTGAAAAGTACAGCTCATATTGCTTTGAGATTTCTATGTGCAAGACATTTAGCATTGTATTTAAATTAGCAGATGTTTTCGTCTGCCATAAGTACTAAAAAGAATACACAGCCAAATGTAATACGTACACAGTAAATAATATCTGTCATATCCTCCCTTTGCAATCTAAGATAGCTGTTTAAGCATCCTTCAGAGATCTTTGTTATCTGAGCTATCACTTCTAGCGTCCCTGTATTATCATTAAAATATCAGATATCTCTTAAAGCATCACTGTATGATCGTTAATATCTGAGATATCTGATGTATTATGTCTGTCTGATAAAGCAATCAGCAGACATTGAAATCCAAGATATCTGTTGTAGCTTGCAGGGGTGATAAAGAGATTAGCAGATTTCGCCAAGAAGCAAAAGGATTTGCCTTGTTTGTCTTATACACATTTACAGTAAGTACATTCATTTTTGAAGAAAAAAAAAGTATTGCAAATTTTATTTGCTGGACCCAGGTTTGGAATGATTTGGAGTGGGGGGGGGGGGGATATAATAATGTCAGGGTGGACTGAAAATATAATTTTTAGTGATTTTTTTTTCTCTTTTATTGCAAACTGTTTAGTCAGCTCTCTAATTTGATTGTGACAACTTAATCTGTGGTCCAGACATTGACAAAACATCATATTTAATTTTGGTGATATTTTAGACCAGCTCAGCTGTCTACGGTGGGTAAGAGGGCCTGTCTCTGGATACAGGACCTGTTGATGGACCTCCGGAATCTGGAGAACGCCCGGGATAACATCAGGTTCAGGGGAGTGAAGGGCACCACAGGAACACAGGCTAGCTTTCTCACGCTGTTTGAAGGAGACGAGGAAAAGGTTTGTTCTCAGTTGATCTGATTAAAATTGAAAAGAGGTTATCCTTATATTTTCTAGAGTGCTTTAAATCTTACACTCAGACAGACATCTTCTAAGGGAGCAATACCGTATAAGTGGAAATTTTAGCGAGATGCAAATTTAGCATTGTCCTTATAAATAGGTATTTTATTTTTAGCGAAATGTAATTTTAGGGATTTAAAAAAGCTCTCTTTAAGAAGCTATTACAACTAAAGTGCAATTAATTTTTAGCAATATTCAATTTTAGCAATCTTGGCACCCTCGCTAATTATGCCAAAATTAAATCCTTGCTAAAAATTCTGCTAATACGGTAGCTTGTCTATCATAAATTCATCGAGCCAGATTTAAATCCCTATAATTGTTCTCTTCATACGATTTGTTTAGACTGTGTGCAGTTTTTGCCATGACTTGTTTAATTAAATGTTGTAGGTATTGACTGTAACAATATAATGATTGAGTACATGTTTGGAATCTATTCCAGTTAAAGTTTTAGGAGTAGGTCCATTCCCAAGTACCTATAACATGTATAAGCCCTTCCTGCACAAAACTTGCATGGATGATGCATCTAGGGATTGGCACAACCAGACTTGCTTCAAATGCTTGATCTGACCTACATTGCCATGGTCGAAATTTACCGTAAATACTCGCCTATAAGTCGGTTTTTTGGGAGTTAAACTTTGGTCCAAAACTCTATGTCCGACTTATAGGCGAGATATAAAAAGACTGGTATTAGAGAGGGTCAATCTTTCTAAAATGAACTTCTAAAATACAACCGACTTATAGGCGGACCGACTTATAGGCGAGTATATACAGTAGTGACCATGGCAATGCTTTTGGAGTAGCTATATAATTTTATGACCCGTTATAATTTAAACTGCATGAATGTTGCATCTAAGGATGGACTATTCCAGACTTGTTTCAGATGTAGGAAATGAAAGACATTTTCTTGATCAGTGAACATGTTCAAGTTTTTGAAACAGGTCAATTCCCAATGAACTATAAGACCTTATCATAAACAGAACTGGCATGAATATTGTTGTCAGAATGCAAACTTTCTATAAAAAAAAATATGATGTGAAATTTGCATTACTACTGATAACATTCGTCAAGGTGAGCTTTAAACTTATGATTATCTATGTTTTTAATTACTGTTCAGGTTGAAAAGCTTGATAGGCTGGTCACAGAGATGGCAGGATTCAAACAGTGAGTAACTATCTGAAGTTTATTTTAATATTTTTATTATTTTTTTTTTGTACTTAAAAAGTAAGAATCTTAATTTATATAGACCCCCCTCCCACACAAAACTCTGTTGTTCTAATCAGCTTTACATTTTAAAAACAAATCCTCTTTTAAAAAAGCATTTATTTTAAAAAAAAGCTCTGTTTTGAATAGTAAACATGCCTTTAACATGGTGACCACACAGAAGCTGTAAAAATGTGGGTTACGACATAAGAAGTCTTTCTTGATTTCTCTCTACTTTCTCTTTCATATTTATCAGGTTTGATGTCTTTGTTTATTGCTTATAAAATGAAGTATTTGTTTTAATTGATTCTGTTTCTTCATATACGTTTTACACTTTTTTTTAATGACAAACATATTTACGTGTTTGTGATTATTTTATCTGACATATCTTAACAAATTATGAAATATCTAACTTTTATTAAACCTCCGTAGGACGTATATGGTGTGTGGACAGACGTATTCCCGTAAAGTGGACATCGACAGTCTCAACGTATTGGCCAGTCTGGGGGCCTCTATACACAAGGTGATTCTCTCTATTGTTAATTTTACTGTGATGGTCGTACAAGCCAGTCTAGACGCCTCTATATACAAGGTCATTCTATCTATTTACTGTCAAAGGGTTGTCATTCTTATCTGATCCTTTAAGGTGCTATTTAAATTTGACATTTAAAAATTTAGAAAAAAATGAAACTTTAGGGACTTAATTTTAAGATAACAAATAATTGCATCAACTCAAAGTACCGTATTTCCAGGTTTTTTTCGTGTGTTGGAAATTTTGCAAAAAAAAGGTAGATTAGTACAATCTTTATTCTGCGTAAGTTATTTTTTAAAATTGAAGATTTTTTGTTTAAAATTGTCACGTTATAGCTAACATATTTTCTGTGTGTTTTATATTTTGTGAATTAAAAATGATCGCATAAAATGCGAAAAATAGATCATCGTGAAAAAAAAACCGGATATACCGTAGGCTTTACAGATTTTAATTCTTAATAGTTGAATTTTTATGAAATCAAACTAGTTTATAAGGATTGTTAATGGATGGACAGGAAGAAGAGAATAAGAAATAACATATATGGCTTTTGTAGATATGTACAGACATCAGACTATTGGCTAACTTCAAGGAGTTAGAAGAACCATTTGAAAAAGATCAAATTGGTGAATAATTCTACCTTATTAAAATTTAAAAGAAAAAAAAAAAGCAGGTCTATAAGATTAACAAGGTTTCTGTATGTTAAAGATCAAGGTGAAGGTCAAGGATAAATCTTTGATTGTGCCATAAATAAAGGTCAGATGTGTCATTCACAACATTGTTGTTGTTTTACAGGCTCCAGCGCCATGCCGTACAAGCGTAATCCAATGAGAAGTGAGCGTTGTTGTGCGTTAGCGCGTCACCTGATCTGTCTGGTACAGGATCCTCTGATGACGGCGTCCGTACAGTGGATGGAACGGACACTAGATGATAGTGCTAACAGGTACAGGCAATTCAGTGATACATATCAAAATAGAGCTGTATGTATTACAAATATTTAAGCATTGAATTCATATTTTTGGATGTCTTTGGTCCTATAACACACCTGGCCGTGCCGACAAATTGAATACCGCGCGTTAGCGCGGTATGATAATTTCTCGGCATGGCCAGGTGTGTTATAGGACAAAAGACATCCAAAAATATGAATTCAATGCTTATATTTACATTCTCTTATTTTCCTTTTTCATAATTTCTTATTTCGTTAATCTTAAATGTGAATTTAGTGCCCTTCAAAACTGCCGAGGTTAATAGATGTAAGAGCCGTTTGTGACATCAAATGACGTTAAATGACGTTTCAAAGTTAAATAACGCAAACAAACATTGCGAGGAAAAAAGTGACAATTTAATTCTTAATGCACATTACGTTAATTTTTACGTAAATTTTTCAGGGTTATAGTTTTTCATTAAATTGAAATAAAACTTTTACAGTTTGGTGTTCCTAGAGTATTGGAAATGCATGTAGTTCATACTGTGTATTCTAACGCACGGTGACAAGGTTTCGCGTGTGTTATAGAAATTTGAACGTCGTGGATTTCTAATAGATTTCATAAGAAAAACAAGATTTGTTTGTGAAACACTATGCGCCCGGCGGCAACAAATTTTTAAAACAACATATATTTAGCATAAAGGTCACAGTGAAGGTCACAAGGTCATTGATCTTGATGTGATTTGAAAGATCTTGATTAGTGAAGTATGCGTACCAAATATGAAGTCTCTATCTTTTATGGTTCAAAACTTATGATGAATGTTCAAAAAAAGATATTTTTAGCATATAAGACACATCAAGGTCACAATGTCATTGACCATGGTGTCATGTGAAAGGGCTTCATTAGTGGAGTATGCATGCCATATATGAAGTCTCTATCTTTTATGGTTCAAAAGTTATGGTGAATGTTCAAAAAAGCTATTTTTAGCATATAAGACACAGTCAATGTCACAAGGTCATTGACCTTGGTGTCATGTGAAAGGGCTTCATTAGTGGAGTATGCATGCCATATATTAAGTGTCTATCTTTTATGGTTCAAAAGTTATCGTGAATGTTCAAAAAAGCTATTTTTATCATATAAGACACAGTCGAGGTCACAAGGTCATTGACCTTGGTGTCATGTGAAAGGGCTTCATTAGTAGAGTATGCATACCAAATATTAAGTGTCTATCTTTTATGGTTCAAAAGTTATGGTGAATATTCAAAAAAGCTATTTTTAGCATATAAGACACAGTCAAGGTCACAAGGTCATTGACCTTGGTGTCTTGTGAAAGGGCTTCATTGGTGAAGTATGCATGCCAAATATTAAGTCTCTATCTTTTATGGTTCAAAAGTTATAGCAAAGGTTAAAGTTTGCAATAAAACCTCTATTTTTAGCATAAAGGTCACAGTCAAGGTCACAAGGTCATTGACCTTGGTGTCATTTTAAAGAGCTTCATTAGTGGAGTAGGCATACCAAATATGAAGTCTTTATCATTCATGCTTCAAAAGTTATGGCGAAGGTTAAAGTTTGCAGACAAACAGACAAACAGACAGACAGACAGACAGGACAAAAACAATATACGCCTCGGATCTTTCGATCCGGGCGCATAATTACACTGAATGTAAATATTTTGTAGTGTTTGCACTCAGTATCTAAACTCCTGAGGCATGGATTGAAGTTTCTCTGTTTGGTGCATTTTCATGATTATCAGATTTGTCACCATTTGGTGACGTTATACACCAGTGTTTATGTTGTAAATAGTTTACCTATACACTGGCATAAAGGAAATATCCATTTGATTTGTATTTTTTATAGACGGATCAGTTTGCCAGAGGCATTTTTAACAGCAGACATAATCCTTAGTACACTTCAGAATATCGCAGAGGGGATAGTCGTATATCCAAAGGTAGTATGACAATGTCAACAGTTTCCTATAGAATATTACAGACTCTGAGGTAAAAAACAATATATCCAGGTGTAAAAATAACACGAAACCCAGTATTTCATGGAACTGAGGGGAAAGAAATATATCTGATGTAAAATGTAACATAATATCCAGTATTTTATGGAATATAAAAAGGAATAAAATTGTATTTATAGACTATTATTTATTAGTTAGAGGACTTATCACATGGTTCTCAATTATTTAAGATTTTATGCATATACCTTCCTTATGACTACCTTTTATGTTTGCATTGCTGATAAACTGCAGTAATAAAGAATTCAAAGTAATTTGCTGGATTTGAAGCCCCTAATAAAGGATTTTCTTTTATTGTTTCTGCACTATTTTATTGCATTGTATATATTTTCCTTGTTAAAACTAACAAACTGTTATTATCAGGTCATTGAAAGAAGAGTCAACCAGGAGTTACCTTTCATGGCTACAGAGAACATCATCATGGCGATGGTTAAAGCGGGAGGAAACAGACAGGTAGACATTGTTATTAGCTCACCTGAGGTGGTGAAAATTCAGATTTGTACAAATCATGACCCCCAGGGGTAGGGTGGGGCAAAATGGGGCAATCGAAGTTTAACATAGGAATATATAACAGGAAAAAAATCTGCTGATTAGGCCATAATAAAAATATTCCTAGATTCTCATCCCCGCCCGCCCCGATTTTATACCCCCGCCTTGATTTTTTTAATTTCTGTTTTTCTTCGTCTTAATTCTGATCGGGATCAGTATTCATCTACCATTCTACTTTCGTTTTAAATCCCGCGAAAGTCGACCTGATTTTGACAGCTGAAAAGATGGTAATTGCTGTAATACATGCGTATATATTTTAAACAAGGGCCATTGGTTGAAAAAGATTGGTGATGATGTGAAGTAAGAGATAATTGAACCTTTACTATGACTTTTATTCGGGTATTGTAGATAAAGTTACATGGATTGACCAGGTCAATAAAAAATCTGCAAAATTGAACAAATATAAAATAAAAGCTGCCCGCCCGCCGCGATTTTCAAAAAAATTCGGATGAGAATCTAGCAATTTATTTATTATGGCCTAAAGAACAGCAGAGCCAGGTCAGCATTGT